TGTCATCTCAGATTCCCCAGAGTCTGAAAAGAAAGATCACAATGTAAGTTCAAGGCCAGCCTGGTAACTTAGTGAGACCTTCTTTCAAAAGAAATAAAAAGGGATGGGAATATAGCTCAGTGGTAGAGCACTTGCCTAGCAAGTATGAAGCCCTGAGTTCAATTCCTAGTATCATCAAAAACAAAAATTATTTCCTTTCTTGCCTGAATACAAATGTGATTCATTTTAGGGTAGTGGGTAGCACAGTGGGTGGTAGAAGCAGGGGCCTTGATCAGAGGGCCTAAGTGCAAGTTCTAACTCTATCTCTCATTAGCTGGTCTGCCTTGGGCAACCTATTGATCTCCTCTGAGCTTCAGATTCTTTCTGTGAAAAATAAAGATAATAAGCTCCTCCCCCATGAGTTTGCTATGAGGAGCAGGAGCTATAATTCTTGTAAAGTACTTGTATGGGGCCTATGCTCAGTAAGGGCCTCCTGTTAGCAATTGATAACATGATATACAAACAAAAAGTGTTCAGGCATCTTCAACCCAGGCTGCCCAGAGCCTTTCAAGGAGAACCATACATCTGCTCTCATGGCTCCTATCTGGGCACTGACCAGCCTGCTCTGCCTCTCCCCAGATGCCTAGCAAACAGTGGGAATTGGTCCTCGTACCTCTGAATTTCCCAGGGCCTGGCCTGTGGAGGATGGTGAGGAAACTGGACCCCTAGGCAATAGGCTGGGTTACTGAGGGCCCAAGTCTAGGATTTTTCCTGGGTGAGGTGGGAGAGGGTGGGTGGGTGTGGTCAGTAGGACTGTCTGTCAGGACACATATGACAGGGCCTGGGAGCTGGAGGAAGGAAAATCAGGTTGAACCCCAAAGAATGTTTTCAGGAATGACTGCTGAGAAACTTTCACAGAGAAGCCTATTAATGCAGAAGGGTAGGGGCAATGCCCTTCAAGGGAGATCCACCTTAATTATAAGTAGTACTATCAATGATAGCCATCTCTTTTTTTTGTTTGTTTGTTTTTTGGTACTGGGGATTGAACTCGGGACCTTGCGCTTGTGATGTGAGGCAGGCACCGGAACCACTGAGCTAAACCCCCGGCCCATTGATAGCCATCTCTTGAGTGCTTTGTGTGTGACAGCACCATCGCTAAAGCCTAGCTCACTTAATTCTTTTAGCAACAGGGAAAAGTGATTATTTCCTTTTGTGGCAGAAGAAAAGAGGGGCTCAGAGATGTTAATTAAGTTGCTCAAGGCAACTCAGAAAGGGAGGCAGAACTCACATACCTGCTTTCAAAAACAACAGCAAGGGCCAGGGATTTAGCTCAGTGGTTTCGCCGCCTGCTGCGCAAGCAAGCGCAAGGACCCGAGTTTGATCCCTGGTACCAAAAAAAAAAAAAAGGAAAAACAACAGCAAAAGTTCCTATGGATTCTAGAGCTGCATAACTAGCCCAGAAAATGGGGGAGACTTAGGGGCATCAGACCCCCTCCAGCCCCATTTCCCACACTGGCCCTCTTGGTGACTGAAGCCCGGCTGCTACATCAGTTGGAATGGAAGTGGGGGGCAGCAGGCTCAGGCATGTGGTGCTGAAGGGCAACACAGAGCCACCTCCAGGACTGGCACTCCTGGGCACTGTCCCTTCCAGGGCAGATCTTCTAGCTGTGGCTTCTCCAACCCCCCCAGGCTCTGATAGCTAAGCTGAGGCCTACTGAGGTCCAAAGGGAGGCTTCTGGGCTGACTAGGACTACTGTGATGCCAAGGGATGTGACTTCATTCCCCTTCTTCAGTGACCAGGCTCTGTAAGGGTTGTGCTCAGTGGGCTATCCTTTCTTTTTAGTGCCCACCGTGCCTTGGTGTGGGGGGGGTCCGCTTTCTTATACTCCTATCCCTAACTTATGGCATCTCTAAACTTGCAGCCTCATTTTGGGGCTCATTTTGTGAGAGCTAGGTAAAAACAAATTTGCTTGACTTTCTTGGGGGCTAGAAGAAATTAGGATCTCATCAAGGTCAGAAACCCACCCCTCTGTTGCCCTTGGTGGTTCGCATGGGGCAGCCCACTGCTGAGGGCAGAGTGGGCACTGACTGGGTTTGAACTTGCCTCAGCATTTCCTCCTGTGGACAAGTGACCTAATGTCTAAGCCTGGGGCCTCATCAGGGAAAGGGGATGAGGACCCTTCCTCACAGGGCTGTTGCAGTTATAGGGGCCCATCTGTGAGGTGGGTGCACTTAGCAAGGATTCTGGACCTTTTGCTGGTCCAATAAATGTTAGTGCTTGCTATGGAGGACAGAGATAGAGTTACGCCAGCAGAACAACCTTGTTTGACCACTCTGTTGGAGGCAGGACTTTCATTTATTCTTGCTCATGGTACCATTGTTTCTTTGGTTCAATTTGCAATTATAGTACGCACGTGTTTGTTTACTTGTCCAGGAGAGCAGGCCCCATGTCTGTTTCCCACTGCCCGATCACTGGCACCAGTAGCAGGAGTACTGTCAATATTGAATGACAGCCCCTTCCCCAATCTTCTCCAGGCAGAGCAGCTCTCAGAGGACATGGATTTGAGTGGTCTCTGTCTTTCCTAAGTCCCTCCAGAGATGGCTGCAGCTGGGAAGGGCTACATGCTCTGCCTGTGCCAGCCACAGAGCAGCTGGTGAGAAGAGCTGGCTGGGGCCAAGGCTGGTTCTTACACTCACCTGGAAGGCCATGACCAAGATGGGTGATGGGGTTGTTCTGGGACAACTTCTGCCATCCACAGTCTGTGGCTGTCTGGCCTGTCTCCTCACAGCCACACTGCGTCTTCACCAGCACCCTGCATTGTCCTCTTTCACCTGGGGCTGGGCCTGACTTTGGGGAAAGGATTCCTCTCTGCTTCTTACTTTCCACCAGCTCTATCTCCTTCTAGGTCTCTCCTACCTCCGGCCTTCAACTGAAACCAGGGCCCCCAGGCCTTGGCAGATGTGTGGGGCTGGGGGAGGCACCATGAGTCCAGATGTGATTATGTTTATGTTTCCAGAGAGTAGGGTTGAGACTCTGGACTGGAGCTGTTGGGGGAGGGGAGGTCAGGCTGTAGCCCACTGTCCGAGGCTTCCCTCCCCCACATTTCTCCTTCCAGCCTATGTTTCTGGCCCTGTCAACCAAATAACCCTCAAGTCCAAGTCCCGAAGTCAGGCTGAACCATCCTCCAGGGAGGGCCTCTTCATCGCTCATCTGAAGGTGAGAAGAGCAGTGGAAGGACATTTGGCTGTGGAATCTCAAAGCCTGCTGGCTCCATGTAACCTTGGCTCAGTTGGAGTTTCATGGAGCCTAGGTTGGGGGTATAAAAGGGGTAACACTCCTGACCTCAGGTCAGTGTTGACCTGCTTTGAGAATGTGTGCACAGAACTCCTCAGCTCTTAGCTCATGAAGGAGCCAGTGGTTGTGCACCATCACAGCTCCAGACAGTCCAGCTCCAGGGTTAGTGCCAGTCCCCACCATGAGGTGATTCTGAAGCTGAAACGTCAACCCCTCCTTCCTCCCCTGCTGCAGCTGCAAACATTTTGTTCTGCCATTAGAAGTGACTTACTTAAGGGAAGCAGAATTTTACAGGCAGTTTACAGGCTGGTCTTGTTCAGTAGTTTCCAAAAGCCAGGGGAGGGCGGAGGCGACCAGCAGCCCCCATAAGTTGGGTTGGAAGGGAAGTGAAAAGTGAGTCCTGTGTGATGGACACTTTCTCCAGCCCAGCCGGCCTAGCTGTGTGCTCCAGGGTGGGATCTAAGCTCCCTGGGGCATTAGGGTGAAAGGCAGAGGAAAGCTCAGGCTGGCTAGGCTCCGATGGTAATAAGACCAAAGGAGAAAAGGTAACCCTGCCCCTAAAGAGGCTCTTAAAGGTCCCCACCCCGACGTTCTGGGCAATCAAGGCCCCCATAATACTCTGGGGTGGGCGGCCTCGACAGTCATCGGTCATCATCGAAGACACAGCTTGTACAATTTGGAGCCCAAGGTGGAGGGTCCTGTAGGGCTGCTAGCGCTGTGTCCAACAGGCTGCTCACCGGCAGCAGGCTCGGAGAGCTCAGAACGCCGGGTTGAACAGGTCAGGAATGGCAGTGGGGAAGCGGGGGTAGGGGAACCCTATTGAGGGCTGCCACGATCCTTTGCAATTCCCCGTGGTCTCGTGGTCTTGGGTGACACAGTTTCGTTTGTCAGCCTCCCTTTTCAGCCAAATGAAGCAGTCAGGGCCCAGCAGTGCTTTAGCACGCTCGGACTATGGTTTTAATAGACGTACATGGACAAGTCGATATAGACAGATTTATAATTCTATACAGTCAGTCCGACATACACAGGGACGCTGTAAACAGGGGCGCGGGCCGGAGAGCGGGTGTGCAAAGTGGGCGCGGGCCCTAGGGCCGCGCCCCGCACTCTCCTGGCTCCACTCTTGCACGGAGGACAGGGAGGGGGCTGTTCCCGGGACAGGGGGCCACCTACTGGACCGGGAATGGAGCCGGGGCCTCGCTCTGCGGCTAAGCTCGGGGCTAGGATGCTCAGAGAGCACTCCCCTTCCTCCTGCCTTGTCTGCTCGGCCAGCTGTGGCTCCGTGGCTGCATTAACATATGCGCTCGGGGCGGCGAGGGCTCTTCGGGATGCGTCTGGGCCTGTGCGAGCCGACGGCGAGGGCCCGAACCCCGGCAGCGGGCGGCGTCATCCCCAGCCCAATACCCGCTCCAAGCCGAATCCGATTGGAGCTGCGCTCGGCCGGGCCCAGCTGGGAGAGGGAGTCTTGGTTCGTGTGCGGGGCAGAGGCGGAATCCCAGGCCCATCCAAGCTCCGTATATTGGATTCGAAGGTGGCCGCTCAGGCTGGGCCGCGGAATTCGAGGGCGTCCTCTCCCGGCCGCCCGCTAGGCGCTCGCTTTCCGTGCCGAGTTGGCTCCGCAGAGAGGGCCGCCGGGCCTGTGAGACGAGCGCACACCACCCGCGCCATCCCGAGGGAAATTGCAACTCATCCATTTTTTTTCGCGGCACTTTTCTCCGACTTTGTTTTGTTTTTTGTTTTTTGTTTTTTTTTGGAGGGCAGAGTGGGGGCCCGGAAAAGGAAACACAAAACCAACCTGGAGGTGGGGAGGTGAAAAGGAGGGGGCTACCCAGGCGCAAGGTCCGAGATGGCGAGCCGAGCCCCGCGAGCGTCCTCCGCGCCCGCCCCGCACCGCGCCGGCCGTCGGCTCGCGTGGCCTGGCTGGGCGGTCAGCTGTTGTACTGGCACGCGTTGAGCCCCGAGGCCGGGCCTTGCAGGCCGCCGTAGCCGAACGACGAGTGCTGCTTAGATTTGAGCCTGAGGCTGGCTAGGCTCGAGTTGCACGTGTCCCGGTAGACGCTGTAGGGAGAAGCGGGTGTGCCATATGGGCAGGCGCCCGGTGACATGGCCGAGTTAAGCGAGGAGCTGGTGAGGTTGTTGATGTTGTTGAGGCCCGAGTTGGGCATGCCGGGCACTGCGCCCGGGCCCATGCTGGATGGCATGGTCATGGAGGAGATGGAGCTAGGTGCCGAGAACATGGACTGCGACGACAGCGGGCTCATGGAGTTGAAAAAAGTGAAACTCTTAGTGGACAGCGGCGCTGGTGCCAAGCTCTTGGCGGCCCAGTTGTTGTAGGAGTAGCCGGCGGCGTACACGTCCTCGTAAGGTTGCACCAAGCCACTGAACTGCGGCACGTATCCGCCCTTGCACAGGTCCAGCTGCTGGTTACGCTCGCGCTTCCGCCACTTGGCTCGCCTGTTCTTGAACCAGACCTGGGGAACGGGCGGGAGAAAGGTCAGGGCTGCCGAGGGCGGGAAGGGCCCCTCATCCCTCTCCTCCCAGCCATCCGGAGCCTTCCTCGAGCTTCCTTCTCTCCAAATATCGTTCCTTTCCTTTCACGGATGTTTCTGTCCCTACCTTCTCTCTATAATAGTTCCTCTCCTGTCTCCAGGAAAATAGTATTTTTTTCTTCTTTCGACCTTTATCTTTTTCTCCAAATTAAATCTGTTTTCTTCTTCTAATAGGGATTCCTTTTTGCTTTAACAAATATTCGTTTTCCTCCTCTCAACCGGTCTGCCCTCTGCCTTCTCGCCCAAACCGGTCCCTTTCTATACTCTAAATATTCCAAACATTTTCTTTTTCTCAGATACTAAGGGTACTTTTTTCTTGCCTGAAACAAATGACTCTCCATCTCCAATTCTAGTCTAATTTTCATCGCTCAAATAGTCTGTTCTCATCTTTATTGGTAATGTTGGATATTTTCATTTTTGCCCTAAATGTTTATCCCTATCTGAACCTTTCTTCTTTCTCAGTCTATTTTCTTCTTTATCCTTCATTTTTTATCCTTTTGATTCTTCTCCAAATATTTAGTTTTTTCCTTTTTCCAAATATCTGACCTTTACTTCTTCTTAGTTGTTTTTCTAAAATCTTGATACTTTTGCTTCTCCCTTAAATATGTAATTTCTTTCTGCCACTTAAACACACACCAAATATGTTTCTCTGCAAATATTTAATTTCCTTTAGTACTAGTTTCTCTCTAATCTCCTTCATTCTCTCCCAAAATTTGTTAAGAACCTCTTTTTTCCCCAATTGCCAGATGGTTCCCTGTCCTCACCAATCAGCCCACCCAATGAATATACCCTGCTCTCCCTGACCTTTCCTTCTCCAGCTCCAAGGCTGTTTCCCCTCAGCTTATCCCAGGGGCCCCTGCATCTCAGCTTCCCCCAAGCCCCAGTACTGACTCTGATTCTATCTCTTCCCCACCCTGCCACCATAAACCTGGGCAGAACTAAAGTTCAGGACTACTGAGTCCAATATCTTCACTCCAAGTCCCACCAGGCTGGCCAGCTTGACTGGGGAAGGGTGAAGATGGGTTATAGCAGGGAGTCTGTGGACCAGGTGGGACTTTGGTCTGGCTTAGGATGTGCTCCTAATATCTGATTAAATATTTGTTCACCCAGAGAAGAAATGATTCCCTTACTTCTCCTTCAGGAAAACCTTGTGTTTACTGACCACCAAATGGTGAGATGAAGGGGAATACAATCTGGTCTTGGGTCTGAGACATTATATCCCAAAAGGGACTACTGGGAGAGCCACTCCGACACCAGCCCCCCCATCCAGGGTGACCCCCCAGACTTACAGTGGTAAGTAATATAAGGCCGAGAGTACAGCTAGTGCCTGGCTGGATGGCCAGGGAAGGTGGAGCCCATCCTGAGATTCTGGAGACGTCCAGAATGAAACCATTGCTCCAAGAAATTTTGGACCCAAACCCAGGCACCTTTCAGGCCTCTTTGAGGCAGCTAGGCAGGACCAGTCTTTCCCTTTCGTTTTTGGAGAAAGGCTGCTGAACCAGAGGTCCCCAGTAGCCGGGAATCCTTTGCCAATTTTTGGCCCTGAGTATCCCGTAACATGCGAATGCATCCTGGGGTCTCCGTGGCATGGGAGAGCCCCATGGGAGCCTCAGCCTCTGGCAGGGGCTGCAGTAGAGCCCAAGAGTCAGGTAAGAGTTGGGAAGTGGCAGCAGCCAGGGGCGCTAGCAGCCTAGGGGCCTAGCAGACAAGGGGTGGCCAGTTTAAGGTGGGGTCTCCGGTGGAGGGCGGGGAGCCGGGGAGCCGGGTAGAGTAGTGGGAGAGTGAAAGTGTGATTGCAGTCTTGGCTTCCGAGGGCTGCCACCGCCTGCCTGCAGCCCTGTACACGGGCCCCCTCACACGCGCTTCCCTCGCTCACCCGCACGCGCGGCTCGGTAAGGTTGGTCCACACAGCGATCTCCTCCCTCATGCTCATGTCGGGGTAGCGGTTCCTCTGGAACGTGGCCTCCAGCTCTTGTAACTGCTGGCTTGTGAAGTGCGTGCGTTGCCGCCGCTGTTTTTTCTTTTTGGCTGGGTCCTCAGCGCCACCGCAGCCCGCGCCGCCCGCGCCACTGTCTTCGGGCCCCTTGGATTCCCCGCCGCGCTCCTTTTCTGCAGCAGGCAGGAACGGGCGTGGGTCACCTTGGGTTTATGCCCTGTGGCACCCGGTCCCGGCTCTACCGAAATGCCGGCGGTCAGCGCTGGCGGCCCTCCCTCCCGCCAGGGGCCCTGGGAGAGGTCCCCATTTCAAAGAACTGCCTGGTGCTGGTCGCCCATAGGCACCACAGGTCTAGCAGGCTGCAGAGAAGAGCCCAGAGCTGGAGCCTCCGGCCTTTGGTTCCTGGCTGGTCAGGGCCTGCTTCCACAGCTCGGCTCAGGCTCCGGCCCAGCTACTCCTGTCATCCACAAATGCACAGCTTTTTCTGGCGCTTTGGGTTCTAAATCTGAGGGAAGGGGGTGTCTGCTTTTTCTGAAATAGATCTTTCCAGACTGAAACTAGTGGTCAGTGGGGTCTGAGCCAGGAGTCCTGAAAACTCTCTACTTATTTTTCTCTCCAGGGCTGAGTGGGAGCCCCAACACAGAGGGTTCCCGACCTAACTTGCAGGCCTCCAGTCCCAAGGCCTAGAAAATGCAACTGCAGCCTAGAGAGACATATCCAAGTGACTTTGGCCTTCAGCCTCTCTTTCTTTAAAGCTAAGCAAAACACATGCAGTCATAGAAACACTGAAACATAAAGAAAAAGAATTTTAAAACAAAACACAGAAGCCCAGAAAAGTTCCCAGGTCTCTGCCTAAAAACACAGAGAAGGTCACAAATTCTCAAAAACAGGCAGGTAGAAACAGAGCAAATGTAAATGAAGAAGCCAGAAACCGTGCAAACACACCTCTAACTAAATACAAAGCTGTACGTGTATAAACTCCAGGCAGACAGACACATTTATTTCTCTGGGATTTAAAAAAAATGCACCTATCATTGTAGATGAAGTTTGAACCCCTTTCCAATAACACCCTTGTAGACATAATTTTTAAATCTCAAAGAAACACAACATTATATTTAGATAATTTTAATTCCCAAAATAACACCGCTGTAAATGGATTTTTGAGAAAATCTCGGAGAAATACGCCATTTTGGATTAACTTTTTAAAAATCGCTCCAATTTTGCATGTAGATATTTTGAATTCCAGAGAAATACATCTAGCTTATTAATCTTTCAAAATAAAAGTACAGTTAAAGTCATTAATTTATATTGATAAATTTAGTTTAAAAAATCAAACTATGTTTCTCTGTGTTTTAAAAATAAGAACCAACTAAACACCACGCGTAAAACTTTTGAAAACAAAAGTACAGCAGCCTTTATTATCTCTTAACCAAAACAGGTAAAGTCGCTTAGAGATGCAAAACAGAAACAAACAGAGATTTACAACGCGGAAAGAAACATTCAGCGGTGGATTAAGAAATGAGCGCAAAAGAGGCGCCCGCGGACTGGGGAGCCCGGAGTTCGGAGGCTACGCCGAGTTAGGGCTGCGCGCTCCGAGAGAGTCGGGCGCCCTGAGTGGCCCGGATTCGCCGGGCCGCTGCCCCAACACCCACTCTCCAGTTTAGCTCGCGGCTGGGGAAAAGACTTGAACTCTCGGACAAATATCGCGAAGGGAGACGTGCCCAAGCCGAGAAGAAGCCCTGGCTGGATTGCCTGGTGGCTCTGAGCTCTGATCGCGCAAGTGGGCTGGGATCCCCGGATCCGGGTTCGGCTGGCTTTGCTGGGAGTCGGGACGCACCCCTCCGGCCTGCTCGCCTTCGCTGTCCCCGGTATCTTCCTTTTACTTGATGTTCCCCTCTCCACCCCTCAATTTGCTTTGCCCGCCCTCCCCTCTCTTCCGTCTCTCCCTCTCCATCTGTAACTCCCCTCCCCCTCGTCCGACCCGGGGTCTGCCCCCTCTCCATCTCTGGGCACTTTCTCTGGTCCAGTCACCCACATCCCCTAATCGGTCTGCTTCTCTCCTTTGGTCCCAGCGGCTCCTCAGCGCGCGCCCAGTTGCGCAAAGCCAACTTTTCCTCCTCCCGTTCTCTTTGCCCCTGATCAAGATGGGCTGTCAGTCCACCCCTCTGGTTGTAGACTTGTGCATCTGCCGGTCCCTTGGCGCCCGGGAGCAGAGTGGAAGTGCCTTCGCGCGTGTGTATTTCCATGTTCACCATGAGATGGAGACCGGGAAAAAGGAAGGTCCCGACTTTCCTGGGGCGAAGAGGAACGGGCTTTCGCAGCCCGGGCGCCAGGCCCTCTCCCGGCTCCCGCGTGGGCTCAGTGCGCGCCGCGCGGAACCCCGCGCTTACCTGGCAGCTCCGTGTCCGACGACTCGCTGGCAGAGTTCTCTAGTGGCTCGCGGGGGTCCGCGGCGCGGGCCAGATGGAAGGTGGGCCCCATATCATGCGGTGGCGGCGGCGGCGGCCGGAGCCCCTCTGGCAGCCGCTCCAGGCTCATGCCCCCCTTGAAGGCGTCCATGAAGGTGGAGACCGCGGCGGGCGCTCCGGGGGCCGGGGCTGGGCGCGCCCGGCCGCCCAGGCTGCGACCTGCGGGGACAAGAGCGTGGCGCCTAAGCGGCTGCCCCTCAGGGCTGCCCGCGCCCGCAGCGACGCCGCGCCCGCTCCATGGACTGCCCGGGGCTTCGGGGCCGGGCGGGCGGCGGCGGATATTCGCGACCGGGCGCCTGGCTCCGCGCTCCGCACTGCGCTCCCGCCGCTCGGGCCTCAGCCGCCCGCCCGGCCCCGGCTTCGGCTCAGGCTCCCGATCCGGGGCCGGTTTCTAAGGCTCCGGACCGCGCCGGCAGTGTCTGTCTTAAAGCGACAGCACGCACCGCCAGGTTCCAGCAGTCCCTGCGCCAGGGGTGGTGGGTGGGGTGGGCCTGGGTGGGAGGGGGCTGGGGAGGGAGCGAGTGAGCGAGCGGAGCAGCGCGGGCGGAATCCAGCCCCGAGCCGCCCGCGCCGCCGCGCCCTCTCCGCCGCCCTCCCTCCCTCCTGGCCTCGCCCGCTCCCTCCCCCTCCGCAGCCACCTTCCCGCCGCCTCCCCGCCCCCCGCGGCCGCGCCGCGCCTCTCCCTCCTTCCCCGGTGACACACCGACTTCTCCCTTGGCCTCACAAAAGAAATGCATCTGGCCTACAAGTCCCGCGCGGCTCGTGGCCACCTCAGGCCCCAAATAACTTGTTTCGCTTTGAGTCAACTCCTGTTTGGGCCTCCTCGAAGTCTCCAGCCGCTGTCGTGAACAGCTCAGGACGGCAAGTACGGTCGCCAAACAGGATTGCGCTCCTTCGAGCCACAGCGACAGGGCGGGGGCAGAGCGCGGGCCCGTTCCGGCAGCTCCCAGCGGAGTCCTCGTCGAGGGGCCGTCGGCCCCTCCTTCCCGGGCCTCTTCTCCCCGGGAACTCAGCCCGACTGAGTGACAGCAGCCTGAGCTCTAATGGGCCCCCGATGCTGCCTCCTAATTAGCTTGGACCCTCTCTCCCTTAAGGCCGCTGCTCCTCAGGCCTCTCTCTCTGCACCGAAGTCAATTTTCCGGGATTGGGATAGAAATGATGGCTTCTAATCAGACGAAACGTTTCTCCTGGCTCTAGGCCGCTAGTGAGTTCAGCAGGAGACCCCAAGAGCCCAGCCAGGCCCCATTGCCTTTTCTATCTCTCCCCTTGTTTTGCACCTTCTAAGGCCAGTCAGGCGCTGGGCTTGGCAGCAATAGGGTTGGCCTTGGCAGCCTCCGTGCTCCTGTGTGTGTGTGTGTGGGGGGGGGTAGTTTTGTCCCACCCTCCAGTTGGTGGTCCCAGTTCCCAAGGGTTCAATCACAGGCCTGGTAGGCCAGGTTACTGCTGTCTCCCAAGGATAGGCGGGCAGCTCAAAAAGCCTTCAGTCTTCCAGGTTCTATTACCTCGTGGTAGTAAGGTGTGGCTCCAGGAGGCCCTGGCCAGCCACAGGTGGAGATATTACCCTTACAGCTCCCAGGAGTGATCCTTCCTTAAGTCCTCCCGCTTAAATGAAGTTTGTCCAAGGATTTTGCTCAACAATTGTTAACTGGCCCGGAGACCTCTGCATCTTGAGCAAACACCACAGCTGGGGCCATAGGGCGAGGCCCTGACCTGCTTCTCTGACCACAGCGGGACCCCAGGTTGCCTCTGCCCCTCACCTGCTGACCAGCTCCACCAGACACAGCAGCTAGGTAGGACAATGAGCTGCAGGGAGAACTTCCCTGCTCTCTAGGCCTAGTGCCCTTACCTCAGAAAGCAGGGCATCCTCATGTCTTCCTGGGGTTCCTGCTTGGACTAAATGTAGGGATGTCAGGATCTGGGGGCCTCTGCAGGCTCTGTCTTCCCCCAAAGCCCATTAGAAGGAGGCACCCAGGCCCCAGGCTGAACTATGGGTGTGGACTGTGGGGCAAAGGCAGTCACAGAGGGTGAAACTGAGCCTTCCTCAAACTCCCTTGGCCTCAGCCAGAGGAGCCCAGCTCCAGGCTTTGGAGATAGGGCACAGCTCTTTACAGCCTATCCCAGTGGTGGCGAACCTATGGCACTGCCTGAAGCAGGGGGTTATCACTAAAAACTCTAAAAGGTTTGCCACCACTGGCCTAGTCCATTTTCACAAGGTATCTGACTCCAGGAGGTAAAGCCTGAGGTATATATAGAGAGGGAGCTTCTCAGGAAGTCCAGTTAGGAAGGCCCAGGGACTCCTGCCTTTTCCTTCCAAGTTGAGATCCCCAGGATGAAATTAGTCTTGGTCAGGGGGAGAGGAACAGGGGGAAGCATAATTGTCCAGCACTTGCCCTTAGCTCCACCTTTTACCACATTTCTTGGCTGAGTCTCTGGCAGCATCAGACACCTCCTTTCAAGGAGATATCCAGGTACTGGGTGGGAGTGCCCCTTCACACACTATCCTCCTTGGGTCTGCCTTACCTACATGACAGCCTGGATGCACAAAGGCCACAGGAGTGAGCATGCATATCCGTACTGCACTTCCACACAGGTATACACACACATATGTGCTGCTGCTATGAAAGCTGGCTGGTAGGGGATAGAAGATGTGCTTTAAGTCCACTGAATGTCAGGCCAAGGCAAGAAGCACAGCGCACCTCTGGGTGGGGACATGGAATCGAATGGTCAGCCTAAGGGACTGTGAGTCAGGCCTTTCAGGGACTACTTTGTGTCTCGGCCCACCTCCGGCTACTCAGTGTGAGGGGCATACATCTCTCACTATGATTCATTTAGTGCAATTATTGAGCACCTGCTGTGTGCCCCTCTAGGTCCAAGCCTCTGGCAGTGCTCCAGGCAGGCACAATAGTTCCTTTATTTGGAAATCTTGATGCCTGCTGTGTGGATAGCAAGGCCTTCAGACCCTTTGGCAAAGCCCCTTATCCCTATGGGCCTGAGCACCAAAGAGGGGCTGAGGCTAGTCAGGGCTGCCAGGGGAGTCTGTTGTTCAACACTTCTAGGGCCAGGGATTTAGCTCAGTGGTTCTGCTGCCGCCGCTGCTGCCTGCCTTGCTAGCACAAGGTCCTGAGTTCAATCCCCAGTACCAAAACCAAAAAACCAAAAACCACAGGCACTTCTGAACGATGGAAGGGTAAGGAAGGGACTGACTGAGAGGAGGCTATGGCCTGGTTCTGGGTGTTGGCCAGAGTAGGGATCTGGAGGGACTCTGCTTTTGCCCAGCTACAGTCTCCCATTGCTCACTATCCTAGTTTAAATAGAGGCATCTGGCACATTCACACACACACACACACACACACACACACACACACACACACATGTACATGGAGGGTAGGGGGCAGCAATACTCCCCTGGCTTTGTTGTATGACCTTGGGCATGGCTTGACCAGCACTGTACTTCAAGAAACTCAGTCTAATATGGCAGTGTACCTGCTGCTTCAGCCTCCAGCTCACTTGCTGATGGACCAGACAAGAGGAGAGGAAGAAGGGGACTTACTGGACCATGTCCCCTATCTCTGCCACTCCATCCCTCTCTAGCTACACAGAACCAGCAACCATTCTGTGATTTTTCAAGAAATTTGGGGATTAGGGTCCTGACGAGGCTAGGTAGAGGAGCCAAGGCTGTTGTGAGGGTTGAAGTAGTTACCACAAGGGTCCTTTCTAAAGCTGGCTGACTCAAAACAGACTCTAGGCCCAAGAATGGTTTAGTAATTTAATTTAGGAAGGGTGGTTGGAGGGTCCTCATGGAGGTGGGGGGATCCTTTCACCCACCCATGGGGGTGCCCTGCTCTAATCCTTACTCCCAGAATCAAGGGATTTTAGGAAAAAGGAAGGAATGTGCCATGTCCTGCCCCAGGGCCATCCATGACTCTCTGGGACATTCCAGTCCTAAGCCTCTCAGACCGAAGAGAGGTTCAAACTAGAAAACCCAGTTTTGGGAGTGCAGCAGGACCACCTACCTCTCTGCCTGACCTAAGACCCCCCTCCCCAATAAAAAGTTCTTATTTTTCCAGTATAAGCAATTACTGGGTGAGGGGGACAGGGAGTGCTCAGGTAGAGGCCAGAACAATCTGGATGGATTCATTAGGCTTCTTAAGACCTTTGACTGAAGCCTGTTGCCAATTGGGGTTCCCTAGCATGTCCAAAGGGAGAGCTTGGATGTATTTCGGGCTGGACAGTTGGCGGCCAGGGGCGCACAACGGGAGTATGGAATGCGGAACTTTAAGCAGCTGGTAGGGCCCAGGGCTCTCCTGGCCCATCGCTCATCGCGATGTCTGCAGCACGCTGTCTGGCTTTTGAGAATGGCTGAGCTGAGGGGAAGAAAAGGGTAGGAAAGTACTGTAGCAGCATAGTCACAGCTGGGAGCAGAGAGCCAGCTTGGGCTGCCCCACAGCCTTCTCTTCCCAGGAGCCACTTTCCTGGGAGAAGTACACTCAAAAAGTCTGTCTTGGTGGTCAACAAATGCTGCCTCTGCATCCTAGAATCTTGGCGGCCTGGTCATCACGATCCAGTCCCCCTCTTCTCCTTCCGTGGCAGAGACTTGGAAGCCCAAAGAGGCTGGGGAAGGGAAAGGGGTACGGCAAGTCCTCTTCAGTGCTGTCCCCGCTGCCTGTAGCTTTTGCCCTTACCCTAGACTTCTGTCCTTTGCCATGGCTAACAGCCACCTACCAAGGATGTACAGCAACCTGGGGGTTTCTCCCTCAGGCTCTGGTGGCTTTTATAGGTCACTGGGATGTCAAGAGAATGTCCAAGACTTAATTTCTCTAAGTGGGCTCATATAGTTTTCAGACTCAGGGAATTCCTATGGGCCAGAAAATCTTGGGACTTGGATTTCAGCCTGGGGTTCCCATTACTGCGATCTGGGCTGTGGGGCCCTGGCTTTGCTACAGCATAATGTCTATAATTTAGGAAGCTGGTCAATTTCAGAATCTGGAGACCCGGTTCTAGAGTAGCGGCTGTTGCTCAAAAACACTGTGTCAACAACCAAGCCCCGAGATAGCCGCAGAAACGTCTTTATTGGATTTTTCAGAAGAGCACTTGGGTTTTCTCTCTGGGGAAGGAAAAGCCCAGATCAAGCCAGCAAGGGCAGGCCGCCCTGGGATGGGGGCACTTCTGAGCGCCGCAGCGGGACGTTGGGGTCCGGGGCGAAGAAAGCCGGGGCTCTGGCTGATGTGTGCTGATTTTCTGCGGCTTTGTGCCCGAAAGAACGAACGAATGAAGCGGTTTCGTTTGGGAAAAACACCCTCTTGACGCGAAGCTACGGCCAAAGTGCCAGGCCCTTCAGAGGGGCCAGGATTTCCGCTGGTGGTGGGGCCCCCATCCCTAGGCGCAGCGAGGAGCGGCGGGCGGCCCTCTCGCGGATCTCTTTCTCGCCGAGGCACCCTGCGTCTGGCGCCGCCACGGGAGGCTAAGGGCTTCCCGGGCTTCGCCTTCGCAGAGCCAAAGCCTGCGTCCCCGAGGCTGCTGCCCTCTGGGGGTGGCTGGGGCCGAGGCGCTGGGTGGGCACGTAGGTTAGGTGAGGTAGCACCAGTGACGGCACGGCCGCGGCGCAGGAACCAGCTCCTCGCGCTGCCTCGGTAGTGCCCGACCTTCCGCGCCTTGAGCCCTGTCCCGCGCAGCTGGCCGGACCCCACAAACGCCAAGAGCAAATGGTGCAGACTTAGCCGCCACCTCCCTGCACCCCTCCACCGCGGAGACCCCGCGCCCCTAGCTGAGGCTCTTACCCCACCCGGGCAGCACTGCGTCTGCGGCTCGTTGGGTCCGGGCTCGCCCGCCGCGGACTTTGCCTCCCGTTTCGGCTCCGGCTGGGGCCCCTGATCCAACTTGGCTTCTGGCTCT